CTTCTCTGTGTAAAAGATCAGCACCTATGTGATTGGCTGTGAGCAGAAAGCTACATGTTTTAAGCACAGACCCCTGCTATTTAAGCAAAGCACCCTGAACAAACCAAGAGAAGCTGAAAGCTGCCACCTGTTTAATTTCTAAAGGATTGTTAAGGTTTGGAACCACTCTATCACTCAAACCATGTATATTTTTTCTCGCTCCAGTCTGTCTGTGTTTCTTCTTTGTAGCCCTTTGCCTTCTCGACCACATCTGCCAGTGAGCAGCCTGAGTTTCTTGGGCAGTTTGGTTGGGGTGTCTCTGCAGGACAGGGAGGCATAGTGTCACGTCAATCCTAAATATACACTTAAAAGTAAATTTAAGGGGGCACCTGGGTGGCTCAGTGGGTTGGGCGTCTGCCTTTGGCTCAGGTCATGATCCCAGGGTCCTGGGTTCGAGTTCTGCATCGGGCTCCCTGCTCAGCCGGGAGTCTGCTGCTCCCTCTTCCGCTCCCCCTGCTTGTGATCTCTCTCTCTCTCTCTCAAATAAATAAATAAAATCTTTAAAAAAATAAAAAATAAATTTAAGACATCTTCTCCAGCTATTCAGTTTTTGTACATCATCCACAACTATAACTTTACTAAAATGTTTAAATTTTTCAGTAAGTACCTTTCTGCCCTCTTCAAGGGGAGGAAATCCCAAAAGGATAAATTCTAAAGGTAAAACAAATTTTCTGATAGTGGCTCATGGTCTCTATCATATTGTACATTTTGCAATATTTCTCAAGCTTTCTGGTTTGCTTGCTGGTTTCCACAACACATTGCTGGCCTCCTCGATCATATCCCACACATTTGTTCTCCTTCTACTTATTGGTCATGCTGAGGCACATGTCCTCACTGATTCAGCTTGCACTGATGGCCACCCCCTGTTTACGACCAAAGCCACAGTGATCATGTAACACCTGATATGTCTTCCTTAAAACACACATAAAGGTTGGAGTCCCTCAGGGCACAAGTCTGATGAAAGGACCAGAGTCCTCATTCATTTTGCTGATTTTTTAGAGGATTTTTGTTTAGCAATATTTCACTTGCACAGCTTTTCATACAGACTTTTCAAGCTAAATTATTTTTATTTTAAACAAAAATCTATTTTTTCCAATGCAGCATGTTTAAGTTAGCATCACTTACTTTGTGAATGAAAATATTTCTGTATGATTTACTAACTAAAATTCATACCATATTTTGTGCTTTTTCTGTTAGATGCTTTTAATTGTAAAGAATAGAGAACTCTGGGGATGCCTGGGTGGCTCAGTCGGTTAAGTGTCTGCCTTCGGGTCAGGTCATGATCCCAGGGCCCTGGGACCAAGTCCCACATTGGGCTCCTTGCTCATCTGGGAGCCTGCTTCTCCCTCTGCCTCTTGTTCCCCCTGCTTGTGCTCTCTCTCTCTCTGACAAATAAATAAATAAAATCTTAAAAAAATATATCTTAGGCAAAAAAAAAAAAGAATAGAGAACTCTGGTTGTCTCAGATTAAGGAAGTCTATTTTAAGTCTTCTTGCCCAAATAAGGAAACAGGGATCTCAGAAACACAGCTAGGACACATGGAGACCCAGAAAAATCAAGTTCCAAAACCTCACAGAAGAACAAGGTATCAGTCAGCCCTGGTGGGGACTGGACATGCAGGTCATTCAGGATACAGGTGGCTCCTGGATCCGTGTAATTGTACAGCCCTCTCCTTGGCTGGCTACATAATTTGCAGGTGCAAACTGAAAATGTGGAGTCTTTAGATCAAAAAGCAGGTAAAAACTGCCATTATGGGTCCTAAGGTATAAAGCTTTTTCCTTTCTTTTGCTGTCTCTCTCTCAACTTGTCATGATTTTTTAAATTTGTTATTTAACAAGCATGGAGTCTGCTTGTCCCTCTCCCTCTGCTCCTCCCTGCCCCTCTTAAATAAATAAATAAATAAATAAATAAATAAATAAATAAATAAATAAAATCTTTTTAAAAACCCCACACATTGCATTGTTTGTGCTTTCAAAACAGTTCTGGTTCTGATGCAAAGTGTGGCCCTTTGGGGGTGTGAGTGCCCTGCTTACTCAGCCTTAAACATACAGCCTTACCTTGTACTTGCTCTGAGCCTCTGCACTCTTGGGCATCACAGATCCATAGGATTCTGTGCTCCTGGGACGCTGTGAACATTATATATAAATGGGGCTGTAAGGAGTGGCAGACATGCTTATTGTGGCTATGTCAAAGATAAAATTAATGAAAATTTCAAGACCGAGACAGCAGAACATTAAATCAAGTACTGGGCTGTGTTCATGGTCACATGTCCATGAAACTGGCTCTGGTCCCCTCACTAGCAGGAAACATGGTGACTCTTGTTCGCCGTGTGGCCCAGCTGTGTTTGCTCCTACTGCTCTTATTGCTGCCACCTACTATCTGGTCCTCTATTTGGGTTTTCACCTTGTCCTAACTTCAACTTATTCATGGGCTTTCATGGCCCCTTCTCTGAATTTCTTCTATTTTCTTCTCCTGATGCCAACTGACCCATTCTCTCCACACTGCCACATAAACTACTGCAAGAGAGAGGCTCAGATAGTCCTTTTCTGGGTTTCATGCCAGCCCACCCCTTGGATGGGGCAGAGGGGCTGGGGTGGGAGGTGGGAGCGGGGAGAGGAAGAGGAGAGAAATGAAGGCACATGAGTTGAATTCAGGAACTTGAAATTATTTCCTTTGCCCTCAGATAATGTCTTTTCAATCTCTAAGTGAATGAGTACAGAAAGTAACTGAAATGACAATGGGTAATTGAAAGGAGAAATACAGTTTTATAGACACATTACAGCTAAAAATCAAATGGTTGCTCAAAGATTTATTAAAGAGATTTAAGTGTGAATATTTTCTAGTTTCATGCTACATATCATACCATGAGTTCTTTTGTGGATAAAAACCATTATACAGATTTTGCCTATATGATTAATTTTACTAAAGAAATAATACTATCCACATGTTAATATTTCTGCTGGATTCAATTAATAATTTTCAGAAAGAGTTTTTTTTCTTTCCACTGACTTCGTAGGAGGGAAAAATTTCTGTCTTTGGAAATGTATGGGAGCAAAACCACAAAAGGGCAATTAAACATTGGTTTTGCTTTATTATTCATTTATTTTTATTTGTGGTATGCAGTAATGGATAACATCACCCAAGGCAATCCATGCATGATTATGAAATGCTGTTTTCTTTGTGAATTCATTTTTTAATAAAAATGCCATGTCTGACTATGGCAGAAGTCCATGGTAATTCTTTCTTGGGACCATGCTTGGGAATGTTGGTTGATCATCAGGTCCTTGCATGACTGTTTCTATCCAATTAACAGTTATGAAAATAAACCAAATGCTATGGAATTTCTTTACCATAATGTTGATTTTATCTGCCTTCTCCCCCCACCCATTTTTAAAAAATAAATACAGTCTGTTGATGTAGAAATAGAAAATGGAACATATCAGAATGGGAGTACCAACTTATGTATTTACTTAATTAAAATTAAATTACATTAATTAAACTTAAATGCATAAAACTAAAGAAGTGAATTAAAATGGGGGAAAACCAAAAAATATTTATTGACACTATTTCAAAGTTTCCTAAGAATAATAAAGCATTCCATGGACCAAATAGTACCAACGTTTATTCATTTTTTGAGAACAGAATACATTTGAAGGGAGTTATGGTGTCTCCGGTATGGGGTCACCTGACAGTGTTTGGTAGACACTGAAAGAAAATTCACTGATGAGAAGTTGGCAGAGTAAAAAGTAGTAAATGATCTGTGTGGAGGTTCAGGGGGAAGAGTGTCCCCCCTGAAGTATGTGCCAGTATAGGGGGGAGGAACGCTTCACTAGATACTGCACTCCAAAACAGGTGCCAGACTGCTGGTAATAAGAAGCTACTCTGGAACTGGTCCACGTGGGGATCAAGAAATATTTGTAAACACCTACCATTCCTTGAAGTCATCTGTAAGGCTGCCTTGCATAGCAATCATTTGTGTCAGGTCTATTTTCAGATTCATTCAACTGTCAGACTATTTTTTCTCATAACTGTTACTTAAGTCCTATTGTTGAATATCGTAAAGTATCATATAAACAGCTACTCTATTATAAATTGAGACAAAGATTCTGGGGAGCTTAAAGTCTAGAGTAGGAAGGAGACTTATTTTACCGTTTGCCCCTTGACACACTTTGACTTTTATCTTACATGCATTTTTATTTTTATTTTTTTAAAGATTTTATTTATTTACTTGACAGAAACACAGCGAGAGAGGGAACACAAGCAGGGGGAGTGGGAGAGGGAGAAGCAGGCCCCCTGCTGAGCAGGGAGCCCGATGGGGGCTCGATCACAGGACCCTGGGATCATGACCTGAGCCGAAGGCAGACGCTTAAGGACTGAGCCACCCAGGCACCCCACACTTTTATTTTCGAATTTTAAAAAAGGAAGGCTGTGGTTAGAGGACACTGCAGTGTACCTTCTGTAGATGATAGAAATGTAGTAATTTTTTGTACAATTAAATATTACTGTGAAATATATGTACAGTTTATTAAATCTACCCTGTTGCTATAGAAATGGATGTAATATAAATGCTCAGATACATACTAGATTCACATATTGAACAATGCAGTGATATTGTAGACTTAAGCACAGATCACAGAAATTTCAATATTTTTAATGTAACGGTTATGCAAATCTGTATTTGCCAAAGGAATTGTATGGAAAATGATTAGGCTGTGCTTGCTTTTTGGGGGAAAAAAAAGGGCACAGGGAGTTTTCTAAAAAATCATTTCCAACTGAATAAAGTTGACATTTGGATAGGAGCTTTTTCATGAAATGTAGTTACAATGACCATCTTCATTATAATGCACTAGCACCCTCTAGTTCATACAAAGGGGAGAAAAGATATTCTTAGAGCTTTTGTCATTTATATTTTCTTTTCGAAAAGAATAAGAGAACTTACCTATTTTTTTTTCCTTTTAAAGAACAGATTGCTCTTATTGAAGAAATAGATGTGGTTAAGGAATTTTTACACCTGAACATGAACAAGGAAGTACGTTCAAAGTTCACTGCAGCACTGTCATACTGTCATACAGGTAAAAATTTAAAATCCGCAACACAATACTTCATGTTGCTTATGAATCCAGTGGTATGTAATAAAAGTAGGCAAAATATGGATTGGTGACACTCCAAATTCAAGAGAGTAGTTGCCTCCGAGGAGGTTGGGATTTGAGCATGAAAAGGGAAAAACAGGGAACTTTAACTTTGTTTGTAATAATAATTTATTATTTTTTAAATTTTATTTTATTTTATTATATTAGTCACCCTACAGTACATCATTAGTTTTTGATGTAGTGTTCTATGATTCATTGTTTTCATATAACACCCAGTGCTCCATGCAATATGTGCCCTCCTTAATACGCATCACCGGGCTAACCCATCCCCCCCAAAACCCTCAGTTTGTTTCTCAGAGTCCATAGTCTCTCATGGTTCATCTCCCCCTTTGATTCCCCCCTTCATTTTTCCCTTCCTTCTCCTAATGTCCTCCATGCTATTCCTTATGTTCCACAAATAAGTGAAACCATATGATAATTGACTTTCTCTGCTTGACTTATTTCACTTAGCATAATCTCCTCCAGTGCCATCCATGTTGATGTAAAAGTTGGGTATTCATCCTTTCTGATGGCTGAGTAATATTCCACTGTATATATGGACCCATCTTCTTTATCCATTTGTCTGTTGAAGGGCATCTTGGTTCTTTCCACAGTTTGGTTATTGTGGACATTGCTGCTATGAACATTTTGGTGCATATGGCCCTTCTTTTCACTACATCTGTGTCTTTGGGGTAAATCCCCAGAAGTGCAATTGCTGGGTCATAGGGTAGCTCTATTTTTAATTTTTTGAGGCACCTCCACACTGTTTTCCAAAGTGGCTGTGACAACTTGCATTCCCACCAACAGTGTAAGAGGGTTCCCCTTTCTCCACAACCTCTCCAACATTTGTTGTTTCTTGCCCTATCAATTTTTGCCATTCTAACTGGTGTAAGGTGGTATCTCAATGTGGTTTTGATTTTAATATCCCTGATGGCTAATGATGATGAACATTTTTTCATGTGTCTGTATGTCTTCTTTTGAGAAGTGTCTGTTCATGTCTTCTGCCCATTTTTTAACTTGATTATTTGTTTTTTGGGTGTTGAGTTTGAGAAGTTCTTTATAGATCTTGGATATCAGCCCTTTGTCTGTAGTGTCATTTGCAAATATGTTCTCCCATTCTGTGGGTTGCCTCTTTGTTTTGCTGACTGTTTCCTTTGCTGTGCAGACTCATTCTATGAGGCCAGCATTACCTTAATCCCCAAACCAGGCAAAGACCCCATCAAAAAGGAGAATTTCAGACTGATATCCCTGATGAATATGGATTCCAAAATTCTCAACAAAATCCTAGCTAATATTAGGATCCAACAATAATACATTAAAAGGATCATCCACCACGACCAAGTGGGATTTATCCCTGGGATGCAAGGGTGGTTCAACATTTGCAAATCAATCAATGTGATAGAACACATTAATAAGAGGAGAGAGAAGAACCATATGATCCTCTCAATTGATGCAGAAAAAGGATTTGACAAAATACGGCATCCTTTCCTGATTAAAACTCTTCAGAGTATAGGGATAGAGGTAACATTCCTCAATTTCATAAAATCCATCTATGAAAAACCCACAGCGAATATCATCCTCAATGGGGAAAAGCTGAGAGCCTTTCCCTTAAGATCAGGAACACAACAAGGATGCCCACTCTCACTACTATTGTTCAACATAGTACTAGAAGTCCTAGCAACAGCAATCAGACAACAAAAAGAAATAAAATGTATTCAAATTGGCAAAGAAGTCAAACTCTCTCTCTTTGCAAATGACATGATACTTTATGTGGAAAATCCAAAAGACTCCACCCCCAAATTACTAGAACTCATACAGCAATTCAGTACTGTGGCAGGATACAAAATCAATGCACAGAAATCAGTTGCTTTCTTATACACTAACAATGCAACTGTAGAAAGAGAAATTAGAGAAATGATTCCATTTACAATAGCACCAAAAACCATAAGATACCTCGGAATAAACCTAACCAAAGAGGTAAAGGATCTAGGCTCTAGGAACTACAAAACACTCATGAAAGAAATTGAAGAAGACACAAAAAGATGGAAAAACATTCCATGCTCATGGATCGGAAGAATAAACATTGTTAAAATGTCTATGCTGCCCAGAGCAATCTATACCTTCAATGCCAGCCCAATCAAAATTCCAATGACATTTTTCAAAGTGCTAGAACAAACAATCCTAAAATTTGTATGGAATCGGAAAAGACCCCGAATCACCAAGGAAATGTTGAAAAAGAAAAACAAAGCTGGGGGCATCAGGTTGCCTGATTTCAAGCTATATTACAAAGCTGTGATCACCAAGACAGCATGGTACTGGCACAAAAACAGACATACAGACCAATGGAACAGAATAGAGAGCCCAGATATGGACCCTCAACTCTATGGTCAAATAATCGACAAAGCAGGAAAAAATATGCAATGGAAAAAAGACAGTCTCTTCAATAAATGGTGCTGGGAAAATTGGGCAGCTATATACAGAAGAATGAAACTTGACCGTTCTCTCACACCATACACAAAGATAAACTCAAAATGGATGAGACTTCAGTGTGAGATAGGAATCCATCAAAATCCTAGAGGAGAACATAGGCGGTAACCTCTTCAACATCGGCCACAGCAACTGCTTTCAAGATACATCTCCAAAGGCAAGTGAAACAAAAGTGAAAATGAACTTTTGGGACTTCATCAAGATAATAATTTGTTATTAAGTAAAAATAAATTAAACTGATAAATAAAATAGAAATTTTATTGTTGAAAAGAAGAAATAGAATTGAAGCAAATATAAAATGTCAGCATTTGTTCATTTGGGAGGTCGGCTTATGAGAATTTGCTATATTATCTATTATACTTTTCAAAAACTTTTCATTAAAAAAACTACAAGCAAAACAAGAAAATAGATTTGCTCTGTCTACAAAAAATGTAGAAATGCCCGCTTAGTATTATCAAGTATTAGAATAAGTAGTGCATATAATAATTTGGAAAGTGAATGAGTATTTCTAAACAGTGGTCAGTTTTGATTTTGATCAGTTGGAGATTTCAAGGGAGTAAACAAAAGAAACCAAAGGGAAAGAAAAGCAACAAGTAAAAAATATTAAGTAAAAATATATACTTTTTTTTTTAATGGGAAACCATCTATGGTTCAATGTAGCATTAGTTTATATACCACTCGGGGCAAGGTGGAGGTGAATATTGCCAATATGGCTGTTAGATGTCATCAATCTAAAGATGAATCCTGATTCCAAGGATGTTCAAATATGAAGCAAAACAAAACTAAGTACATTTTAGAATTGGTAAAATACAATAAGCTGGTGTTCTAGATGTTCCATTTCAAATTAATTGAACAAAGAATGCATAGGACTTTTATTGGAAAAACTTACTGAAACTAGTTAAAAGTCTTTAATGAGGGGTGCCTGCGTGGCTCAGTCTGTTAAGCATCGGATTCTTGATTTGGGCTCAGGTCATGATCTCAGGGTCCTGAGGTCAAGCCCTGCCATAGGCTCAGCGCTCAGCATGGAGTCTGCTCAATTCTCTCTCCCTCTCCCTCCCCTCTGCCCCTTTCCCCACTAGTGCACACACTCTCAAATAAATAAATAAAATCTTTAAAAAAATAGATATGACTACATGAATATTATGGATTTTTATTCAATGAAGGACACAATATATAAGATTTATAGTTGGTTGATCATTTGGGACAATATATTTGCAATGTTAAAAATTGACAAGAGATTAATATTTAACAGTGCTGTCCCTTAGAATTTTCTGTGATGAAGGAAATATTCTGTGTCTGTGCCCTCCAGTATGGTTGCCACTACCCACATCAGGCTACTGGACATTTGAAATGGGGATAATGTAACTGAGAACTAAGTTTTTAATTTTTAAATTTTAATTATTTTAAATTTAAATAGCCACATGTGGCTAATGTCTACCTTATTGGACAGTGCTAGGCCTAGAATATTCAAAGATACACAGAAGAACGATTTACTATTCTTTCAGACAAGGTTCTCAGCCGACTGTATTAGTTAATCCTCTGAACCTGAAATGATTTGCATAATCAATTAAAGAAATACAAGATTGTCCACTAGAAAAATATAAAGAGGTTGATAAAATGGGAAGCCCAAACTGCCAACAATCATGTGAAAAGATCCCAAATCACAAGTAACTGGAAAAATGCAAACTAACATAATAACATAGTATTTCTTAAAAGGTAGAAAGTCAATACCAAGGGTTGGTGAGGATGTGGGGAAAAGCAACCCCCACTTACTGCTGAAGGTTGGGGGTAGACCAATGGACATCTTGGAAAACAGTCTGGTGAAATTATGGATGCATATATCAAATAACCCAGCAATCTACCTCACTTTCTGTAGAACAGCTCACAAATATGTCATAAAGAAGGTGCAAGATCAAAGATGTCCATCATGATGTTGTTTATGATGGTAGAGATTTGGAGGCTATATAAGTTCATCACAGTGGAAATGGAGAATTACAATGCAGCAGCGGCATACTATGGAATACTCTGCTACAGTCAGAAATAATGAACCAGAACACATACAGCAACAGAGACAGAGTTTAAAAACCCAGTGTTTGGTGGAAAAGGCAAGAAATAAATTGAGATGTGTAGTGTAATCCTACTAATGTATGTTTTCAACATCAAGTGACACAGAAACAGTATTACATTTTTCAAGATACTTAGATACCCAAGGACAAATACCAAGCATATTACTCTTGGTAGCTATCAAGGGGGAGGGTGGAGGGATAGCAGGGAGCAGGAATGAAGGAGTAAAAAGAGAGAGGACTGCTGCAAAAAAGACTGATTATAGTATGGCCTAAATGAAAGAATATGATTAACCTAACTTCTTTGCACCTGATGTTCAAAGGAGGGGGGAGCAAAATATGACTTGGTACCTGAATTCCCTGGATTTTCTAATCATTATCTATGGTTTACTT